TATTCCAATTCACTCCCACTCCAACCAACCACCCAACTCCCAATGAACTCTCCCCTTCGCCCCTCCCAGAGCTGGTTTTATAGTCCCTCTGACTCCACCCCCCTGGGTTCTGATTGGGTAACCTGTTTAACTATTTCACCTCCAGCACTCTCATATGTTAACTTCACAGGCAGTGCCCCATTTGCCCTAATAAGATAGCCTCCTCTGGTGCTGCCGCCAGCAAACAAGACTAGCTGGAGCAAAACCAGTAGCTGCCACAGAGCTTGAGCTCAGAATTTGGGGGTTCCTTCACTCGGAAACTTGGGTTTTTAATTTATGTGTTTGGCAAAGCAGGTAGAGAGGTGCCCAGGTGTGCTGGGTGTTGCTTAAACACTGCCCCCTGGCAACAGAGCCTCATTTTCTCCTTCCCTCTAGATTTTTGCCTTGAGCTGGGTGCACAAGCAGCAGCTGATTTGGTTTGCCCCGTCCCAAATGTGCTCATGGAATCTGTCAATCCCATTTGTTCATGCTTATGCAAGTGGATCTAATGATCGCCTCTGCAAGCTGCTGTCTCGGGAACATATGGGCCATACATGAAATGAAAATTGTGTTGGAACAGCGAAGCCCCCCCTCCTTCCCCAACTCCAGTGGCAGCAAAAGACGGCTGACCTAGTTTGAAGGACTGCTAGATACAGCCCTCCTGATTCTTATAGAAGACTTTGCTCCAAGAACAAATTATAAAGCGGTAGCCAAACTAGCCTGTGACCCCAAACACAAAGATGGTCCTGTGGCAACTTAAAGAGCAAAAGATTTAGTATGACACTAAATCACAACCAAATCTGTAGGTCTTTTGTTTGTTTGCTCTGGGGTAATTCCTCTTTCAATGATTCAAGGTGCCCAGAAACATATTTGCACAGTTCAGCTGCGGTTGCCTAAGAGCATATCCACATCACCACCATCCCATTCCCACAAGCCAGGTGTGGGAAACCTTTGCCTCTCCTGATGTTGCTGAACCACAACTCCCATCCAAGCCTGGCTAATGAGCAGGGAGTTGTAGCTCAGCAACATCACGAGAGCTACAACTCTCATGTTTCCCACTCCTGCTATAGGCTAACAGCAGACTCATTCCCTGGCTGTGGAGTCCTGATGTAGCCAAACTGGTACCACTTGTGAGCAACAGGGAGGGATGAGGAGGACTGGAAGGACTCAAAGATTTGCAGAATTATATCCTGCCCAATACACACACACACACACACACACACACACACAAACACACAGTGGTACCTCGGGTTAAGTACTTAATTTGTTCTGGAGGTCCGTTCTTAACCTGAAACTGTTCTTAACCTGAAGCACCACTTTAGCTAATGGGGCCTCCTGCTGCTGCTGCACCGCCGGAGCACGATTTCTGTTCTCAACCTGAAGCAAAGTTCTTAACCTGAAGCACTATTTCTGGGTTAGCAGAGTCTGTAACCTGAAGCGTATGTAACCTGAAGCGTAAGTAACCCGAGGTACCACTGTATATATATATACACACACATACACATACACACACACCCCTTTAGAACAAATAGAGATCGATCCAACGGAATTTCCCTGTCAAGGAAGAAACTGGAACCCTAGACAGACAATAGGTCTAAAGGTAAAGGTAAAGGGATCCCTGACCGTTAAGTCCAGTCGTGGCCGACTCTGGGGTTGTGGCGCTCATCTTGCTCTACAGGCCGAGGGAGCCGGCGTAAAGCTTCCAGGTCATGTGGCCAGCATGACTAAGCCGCTTCTGGCGAACCAGAGCAGCGCATGGAAACACCGTTTACCTTCCCGCCAGAGTGGTACCTATTTATCTACTTGCACTTTGACGTGCTTTCGAACTGGTAGGTTGGCAGGAGCAGGGACCAAGCAACAGGAGCTCTCCCCGTCTCAGGGATTCGAACCGCTGACCTTCTGATCAGCAAGTCCTAGGCTCTGTGGTTTAACCCACAGCGCCACCCTCATCCCTCTCAAGGAAGAATTTCCCTCTCAAGGAAGAAACTGGAACCCTAGTCAGACAATAGGTCTACATGCATTCAAATAATGCATGGAGTGGAGCCCCTGGAGACCGGCCCCACACATATCTCCCCACCTATGCTCTTGACCTTTGCGCTTTCAGCTGAACATGCTTGGAATCACCCCTTCAGATGTATGCGCTAAACAAATAAACAAAAAAATTAATGGGCCGTTTCCTCCCTATTTCAGCTTTATTATAGGTTTCTGTTATAATAGATCGGCTTCCTCCCTTTTAAACATGGAGTGGGGAGGAGGGGAGACAGACCCTTGTCATAGCTCATTAAGTACCAGCAAAATATTCCACACAGCTTCCCACACCTCTCCTCGCTCTACCCAGCCTTATTCTGAATACTGATTATTTCCAGGCAGACTTAAGAAGAGAGAGTTTATCTGGCACGCAGGCATGCACGCACATTTCTGAGCAACTGTAATTAAGAGACCTGCTAATGAATTTCCCTCTTTTAATCACAGCTACCGGCGAGCAGATTATGAAACGTGGCTCAGGAACGTTGCTGTGAACATGTGCTACAAAACATCTCCCTTTATTTCCTAGCCCCTCCTGAGAGGCCACAAAATGAAAGAATGGACAGAGAGAGAGAGAGAAAAGGAAACAAGTAATTCCAGGCTTAAAACCCATTTACATTCTACATTTAAAGCAATATCATGGAACTTTAAACAGAAGAATTAGTTTACTCTGCCTGTCATTGGCTCCAGCTCTATCTACGTTTGGCCTCGCAGCCCTACAAGTTGCAATGGGCACTACCACCTGATGCACCTGATGTATTTTTTGCTCTATAAGACTCACTTTTTCCCTCCTAAAAAGTAACGGGAAATGTGTGTGCGTCTTATGGAGTGAATGCAGGCTGCACAGCTATCCCAGAAGCCAGAACAGCAAGAGGGATTGCTGCTTTCACTGCGCAGCGATCCCTCTTGCTGTTCTGGCTTCTGAGATTCAGAATATTTTTTTTCTTGTTTTCCTCCTCCAAAAACTAGGTGCGTCTTGTGATCTGGTGCGTCTTATAGAGCGAAAATACGGTATGTTTCGCTCCAAGCAAAGAGGCTTAAAAAGACATTTCCCCAGGACTTCTAGCAAATAATGAGTCGCATCCGAGGCGTCTGTTAGCCACTGTATTGTATTTTATATCCTTTTGTTGTATTACTGGTGCACGTTGCACTTTCGCCCTATTTATTTGCAGGTTGCTTTTAATAAGCAAGCTGATCCTTTGAATACTGTCCAAACAGGCCTGGCCCTCTCAGGTGGTGAGGTGAGCACCTTTGCCTCAGGCATCAGATTAGGAAGAACAGTGGATCAGTCCCCTGCTCAAGCCCCCAAGATTACACCCACGGGGAGGGGAAACGGTTAAAACAGACTTCAGTCAACAGAACAGAATGGGTCATAGAATCATAGAACCTCTGCTTAAACACTCCAAAGGATGGAGTCCTAAAACATTTAACTCAAGTGTCCAAAGACACATCTCTGGCTTACAATGAAAATGCCAGACACAATTCGGTGTGGGTGTGTGTGGGGGGGGAATTCCATGGCTTTGGGGCTGCCCCAGAGACTGCCCTTTCCAAGGCCACCATTCCACAAACTTCTTGAGGGTGATGGAACTATCAAGGTAATCCCCAGAGCCCATTATATACCGCCCTGAGACCAGCAGGTATAGGCCAGTATATATAAATTTAATAAATAAAATAAAATTTTAGCACCCAAGAAAGTCTGTAGGGACCAAAAACTGTAGGGAGAAAGGTGTTACGTCATTTATCACGGTAATGCTTCCAAGAAGCATTTGCTGCTGGTGCAAAGCAGCACCTGTGGCCAGCTCTCCCGCAATGCCTTGCTCTGAGGAAGGACTCTGGGCAGCCTAGAAGTGTCTGTACTGCTGTCGCTAATGGAGCAGGAAAAGCTACTCAAAACTCAGAGCTTGGCAGCAGAGCAGTGGGGAGGTTGGTGCACCTGAAGAAGATGGCAGCAGCAGCAGCAGAAGGTCCACCTGCTTCATCCACAACATTGTGCTTCCAGCAGATCATTGGCCCAGAGATCAGTGAACCCCCCAAACAGTTTTGGCCACTCTACTGAGAACTTACCTGGTCATACTGAAGTGCCTTGTGAGATATGCTGGCATACTGGAGCCTCAAGCAGTTCTTTTCATGCACGACATTGTTCAGTTCATTTTTCTAGACGAAAAAGAGAAGAGAAGAGACTAAAGCACAAGGCGGCATCTTCAATCCCAGCGACTTCAATCAACCAGCAGAATGTGCCTTGGCTGACTATGTTGGACACTCCAGGGTGCTGCCTTATTGTGAGTCACACCAGTGGTCCGACACCCAGCTCAGTATGGCCAGCATCGAAGCTCTCCAGGATTTCAGACTCTCCCAGCCCCACCTGGAGATGTGGGGGTTAAACCTGGAACATTCTGCAAGCAAGGCAGATGCTCTGGCACTGAACTATGGCTCTTCCCCCAGTTGTGGTGATTGTACTTGGGGCTCACAACCCAGGAAGGCAGCCCTAAACTTATGGGACATCTTAGGGAGAAGAAAAGGCTAAGGAGTAGACTCTACACAAATCCAGAGTGGAGTCCCTAAGACAGTTGGATGGTGCCTTGTTCCTTCCAGCAACTCTCCTGAAGCTAAGCTGGTGCCAAGCGTATTGCTCTGCTTTGCTTTGGACCACATCAGTGAGGCTGTGAGGAGGGTCTCGTCGTCTGGGCAGCCCAGGACCTCCATACACCATGCCCAGGCTTGCGACCCAGAGAGGTCACTTTGGTGCTACTAATACAGCTGTTTGACTTCACCCCCGGAAGTGCACTCCATTGTTCTTTGAGACAGATGAACGCCAGCAATAACTTTGGGAAGGGAGCAAGCTGGAAACACACAAGGATGGGGAAATAGGAAGCTGTCTTATACACAAAGCTCTGGATCTTGCTGGACCAAGCAGAGAAGAGCTTTTGCTTCTGGCAAAGCATAGGCACCATACATTTTAAGCACATGACTTCCCCCAAAGGATCCTGGGAACTGTCATTAGTTATGGGTACTGGGAACTGTGAGGGGTAAACTACAACTTCCAGGATTCTTTGGGGGAAGCTGAGTGCTTTAAATGTGTAGCATGCGTGCAGCCACAGCCTCTGGGTGACAAGAATGAATTGTTCCCTCCTGTTCCTCGCTAGTCTGACCACATCTGTTGCACTGTGTTTAGTTCTGGGTACCACCTTTTGAGAAAAACCACATGCCACAGCCATCAAGTTCAGGGTCAGAGTTGCGCAGTGGTTACAGTGTTGGACTAGACCTGGGAGACCAGTGTTCAAATAATAATAATAATAATAATAATAATAATAATAATAATTTATTATTTATACCCCGCCCATCTGGCTGGGTTTCCCCAGCCACTCTAGGCGGCTTCCATAGAAACAAAAAATACAGTAAAATATCACAGATTAAAAGCTTCCCTGAACAGGGCTGCCTTAAGATGCCTTCTAAATGTCAGGTAGTTATTTATTGCTTTGACATCTGATGGGAGGGCGTTCCACAGGGTGGGCACCACTACCGAGAAGGCCCTCTGCCTGGTTCCCTGTAACTTTGCTTCTCGCAATGAGGGAACCGCCAGAAGGCCCTCGGCGCTGGACCTCAGTGTCCGGGCAGAACGATGGGGGTGGAGACGCTCCTTCAGGTATACTGGGCCGAGGCCGTTTAGGGCTTTAAAGGTCAACACCAACACTTTGAATTGTGCTCGGAAACGTACTGGGAGCCAATGTAGGTCTTTCAAGACCGGTGTTATGTGGTCTCGGCGGCCGCCCCCAGTCACCAGTCTAGCTGCCGCATTCTGGATTAATTGTAGTTCCGGGTCACCTTCAAAGGTAGCCCCACGTAGAGCGCATTGCAGTAGTCCAAGCGGGAGATAACCAGAGCATGCACCACTCTGGCGAGACAGTCCACGGGCAGGTAGGGTCTCAGCCTGCGTACCAGATGGAGCTGGTAAACAGCTGCCCTGGACACAGAATTGACCTGCACCTCCATGGACAGCTGTGAGTCCAAAATGACTCCCAGGCTGCGCACCTGGTCCTTCAGGGGCACAGTTACCCTATTCAGGACCAGGGAGTCCTCCACACCAGCCCGCCCCCTGTCCCCCAAAAACAATACTTCTGTCTTGTCAGGATTCAACTTCAATCCATTAGCCGCCATCCATCCTCCAACCGCCTCCAGGGACTCAAATCATGAACTCATCAAGCTCACTGAGTGACTGTGGGCCAGTCACATCCTAACCTACCTTACAGGGTTGTTGTGAGGACAAGGTGGGGAGGGGAGAACAATGTGCTTCACTTTGAGCTCTGTAGAGGAAAGGTGGACTACAAATGAAATTATTATTATTATTATTATTATTATTATTATTATTATTATTATTATTTTCTACCCTGCCCATCTGGCTGGGTTTCCCCAGCCACTCTGGGTGGCTTTCAACAGAACATTAAAAACAGAATAAAACTTCAAATATTAAAAACTTCCCTAAACAGGGCTGCCTTCAGATGTCTTCTAAAAGTCTGGTAGTTGTTGTTCTCTTTGACATCTGACGGGAGGGCGTTCCACAGGGCGGGTGCCACTACCGAGAAGGCCCTCTGCCTGGTTCCCTGTAACCTAACTTCTTGCAGTGAGGGAACCGCCAGAAGGCCCTCAAAGCTGGACCTCAGTGTTCGGGATGAACAATGGGGTTGGAGACGCTCCTTCAGGTATACTGGGCTGAGGCTGTTTAGGGCTTTAAAGGTCACCACCTAGCTCGCTGACCACTGAGCTGATGGGATCTGGGAGTCTTATAACACCTGAAGAATTACAGATTCCTCACTCCTGCCACCTGCTTCTCCACACAGTTGGATGGGTGTTTGAAACTCAAATTTATCAGTTAAATAAAAGGGGGGGGGGTTGAAGCATCTTGTTAATTTGAAGGAGGTGCTTTTTGGCCTTTAACATGGTTTTATTTATTTATTTGGTGCCTCTGTCTTGGAGCTAGGGGTCAGCGCTGCCTGCTGTATTTCTGAGAAGTTAATTATACCTCACTCTTTCCACACAGGCAGTGACACAGTCAAATGAGGTCCACCATTTAACCTATTCAAAATCAATTTCTTCCCTGCCCCAGCAGCTGCTGATGAAGGCAAGGAGGCTGGAGAGAGATTAATAAGTCATGAAACCAGCCACTATTAGCCACGGGACACAACCCTTTGAGAAACACTTCTGAAATATTATCAGACATATTTAAAGAAAGAGAGGGAGAGAGATTGAGAAGCAGGCAAATGCTTCCAGGCTTCTAGAATGTTTGTTATCATCAGCTCATCAGTTACTGTGTGTCTTCACTGGCTCACCATTCAGTAAATATGCAATCAAAACCTTCAATCCATTTGATAAACAGAGATAAATGCAAGAAACATAGAGGGGCTTAATTTGAAAAGAAAACCCCACACAGACAATAAGGCCACGTGCAGGAACCACGGTGGGCTTTACATCTTAGTATCAACAAGATTAAAAGCGCCACAAGAAAAACCAACCAGCTCAGTCAGTTTTCGTGTTAACATTCTGATCTGGCAGTTTGCTTTACATCACCTTAAGACATGGAGATTCTATCTCAGCAGAAACGCAAATTTCGCATGTGCCTATAGAATCCTAGAAATGCTTGTTCTTCCATATCCAGAATATTTTTGGAATATCCCCCACAGCCATTCTCTAAATCATTGTTAGCTAAGCAAAATTATTAAAAACAGACAGACAAACTTTCCCCGCAAAGTGAATGCAAGCATTTTGGGAGAAGACTGCAACAGAAACTCCCCAAAAAGTCCATATATTTTAATTGACAACTCTTTGGCATCTATAAGATCAGATAAGAAACCCCCTTCCTCTTCTGGTTAAGCGTCCCACTTTAATAGGAAGTCAGAATGCTGAACAGCTTTAACACGCTTGCGTTCTGTAAAACCCTGTAGGAGAAATATGAGCTCATTTGCGAAGAAAAGAAATGCTTAAAATAAAATAAAAGTTACCTTACAGATCATTTGCATCTTTGCAGAAAGAAAGCCAGAATCTCTTCCACGGTTTGAAATAAATGAAACATTTTCAATATATATTAAGTGTGTGTGTGTGTTTCAATGGGTACAAGGCCAACAGATAAACAAAAACAAAAAAAAAACCACAATTGGGAGATGGCTCCAGTAGATTTAATGCAATCTGACACCACTGTCTGTGCAGCAAGGTTCTACATTGCCTGGAGTTAAGCATCTGTTGTCCTGCATTCGTTAGCGCATGCATCAATTTTTTTGCATCTGAAAACAAAAGCCCTGCCCTTCTGGAATGTAAAATTATGCAGTTAGGGTGGGATGGGAGAGAGAGAGAAAAACGTGTTGGACTTTTTGTGAGTTATCGTCTTTCTCTGCACTCAACGCACTGCCCAATAGTGTGTTCCCATCTTCCCACCAGGATTTCTCACAGCGGAGTTGGTTGAGTGACCTAAAAAATTGGACGCAGTCTACCTGCCATGTATCACAGTCTGTTGGATGCTTCAGAATGACCCAACACTTTCGTTAGCAGCACTAGGCAGGCAACAAATCAAAATCAAACAAGCCTAGGAGCTAACAAGCCCCTTGATGGGCTGCATTTTGGCTTGAGAGTCACAAATTGTACTGGCCTGGCCTTGACGTAGTTCAAGAAGCTAAGCACAGGAAACGAGAGAGATTGAGAAATGCTTGGATAGACTTTAAAATAGCAATTTGACTGGCTGCTACTGGCAAGTTAGAGTACATCCGGAAGAAAACATGGAGATACTACTACTGACCCAGATTGCAGGGTTGCTGCAAAGAGTTCTGAAATAATACTTGCCAAGATTTTCACCCAACCTTAGTCGGTCCAGCATGAGACTCCTAACCTCAGGCTGCTGGGTTGGAGCCCCGCATTGGGCAAAAGATTCCTGCACTGCGGGGGGCTAGACTAGATGATCCTCGTGGTCCTTCCCAATGCTATGATTCTATTATCTCTTCTATGACTCAGAGGTGAGGAACCTGAGATGCCCAGAAGTTGCAGGCCTCATAACTGGCCTTGGCCTGGTGGGGTCCAACAATATCTGGATTGCCACAGGATTATCCAGCCTATTGTTATAAGTAAAAAAACACTGCTCTTTTCCCTTATGGAGTACCCAAGAGCCCATATAGAGTCCTTTTGTAGGTTCTCTATTGGTAGGAGAAAATAACAGAGACCATAGCTGTCAACCTTCCCTTTTTTGGCGGGAAATTCCCTTATTCCAGCGCCATTTCCCGCTGCTATCCGCTGCTATCCTGGATTGTTAGATATCCCATAGACTGTCCCCGGGACAGGTGAGGCTGCTGATCCCTTATTTTCAAGGCTGCTGATCCCTTATTTTCAAATCTGAAAGTTGACAGCTATGACAGAGGCCAACCAGAGAATACAGTGGTACCTCAGGTTAAGTACTTAATTCGTTCCAGAGGTCCGTACTTAACCTGAAACTGTTCTTAACCTGAAGCACCACTTTAGCCAATGGGGCCTCCTGCTGCTACTGCGCCACCGGAGGACGATTTCTGTTCTCATCCTGAAGCAAAGTTCTTAACCTGAAGCACTATTTCTGGGTCAGCAGAGTCCGTAACCTGAAGCGTATGTAACCTGAAGCGTATGTAACCCGAGGTACCACTGTATTGAGAAGCAAAGCAGCTAGTAAGCCTGATCTTTATTAACTGTTGCAACAGGGTGCCCCCTTCACATGCAGGAGAAGGAGGACCTCAAACAAAGGTGTGCCCGCCCTTATATAACCATTTTTAATTGCCCGCCCTGGAGTCCAAGACCATCCCCAGGTTGTATATATGCGTAAATGAACCGCATATCCTAAAGACAACATGGTCTCCACTGTGCCTCATTCCAAAGGAAACGCAAACCCTGGGGAAGTGCCTGGAACCACTGGAATATCACACTACTTGGAGATTGGGGTGCCGTGCCACAATATTCATGAATGGAGAAGTGTTTAGTAACAAGAGTCGCTAGAGCACGAGACTCTTAATCTCAGGGTTGTGGGTTCAAGTCTCACGTTGGGCAAAAGATTCAAGCATTGCAGGGGCT